GAATCAACAACATCAAAAATAATATTTAAAATAATTTGAACAATACAAATTATATACATGAATATTAAATAGTTTAAAAAAGCCAAAAGTATAATAATTTTGTTGTTTTTAACCTATATACAATCGCAATCTTTCATAAATTTGTTGTGTTTAACCTATAAATATATTCCTACATTTCCAAATTATTTAATTATTACATAAGAAATAATTTTTCATCCCATTTCCAAAACGAAATAGAATATTTCCATCGTATTTCTAATTTGATATCTCTAGGAAACGAGTTTCCATCGCGTTTCCAAAACGGAATTAAAGTTTCCATCGAGTTTCCAAATTAAAATATTTTAGGAAACGTGTTTCCATGGAGTTTGCAAGAGTTTCGGTTTCCGAAACGGGAAACGCTTTTCGGACGGAGTTTCCATGCAACCTAGGTTGAGCTACAAATTTCCTAAAAATGTATTGTTGACATTACAATAATAACTCATACTTTTCTTTTGACTTGGTGCTTTCCTTTTCTCGTAGAATAGTTTCCGGTACATCCTCTTACTACTTGACGAAGCCATCTAAGAAGAGAAAACATGAAGAAAAAAATGTCAGAAATTAAGCAATAATCATCCTTGACAAATATCATCAATACTTTCAAAATCATAAAAAATAACAAAAAGTTCTTAATAATATGAAAAATTCAGACAAGTAGGAAAAACAAAGTCGTTGTGTTACACGATTATTTAATAGTTAAAGTGAAGACTTTTTGTTAACCCAAGAGTGGTAAAATTAATTAAAAAGCTTTCTTTCAAGAAAATGTTCCCAGAATACTACTCCAATTAACAAAGCTTCCGACAAACAAATTCGAGACAAACAAAATCAAGAGTACCCATCCTAAAAATTTCTCTAGAGCACAGGAAAAGCTGCGTGGATTAGTGGGACAACTTTTCTCATCCTTGTTGTTCCATTGATTATTGTAATGGATCCTGAAACTCAGCTTAATGAATTGGATCTTCAACAAGCTAGTCTTCGCGGAACTCCATCTTCTACTATGCAAAGATGATTGTAGAAACCCTACTTCTATTCAGAGGGATTCGATTATATTTCCACTAGTCTTTAAATAGCATTTTTCTATTTTTATTCCAATGTATCTCGATTTAAAAAAAAAAAAAAAACCCTAAATCAGCAAAGAAAATAACGTCGTTTGTTGTGGTCAACTAATATTTTTTTTCCCATAAAATTTAAAGTAATAAAATGACAATAATGTAATTAAAATTAAGTTTGATGGGTAAACTGTTTTTTACACGTTTTTTACTCAATGTTTTTGAATGAGTGTTAGCCTAATAATATATCAACAAAGTAGTGCTAATCTGAATAAATTTCTCATTTTTTTATATGAAAGAACTAGTCAAATCTGTGAGACTAGATTTATAGCTTTCTATATTAGTAAATCAAAGAAAATACTTTGTTAAATTTCAAAATGTAGTTTACATTAATATTAGACCGTGACATTTGTATCTCAAAACTGTTAAATCTTAGTAACTATATTTAAATTATATATTTGAAACATTTTCAGAAAATCTGTGACATTTGTATCTCATAAATTATTTTACGATCCTTTAAAAAAAGGTATAGTTAGGTGTTTAATGATTCGTTAGTTAGATTGTTTTAATTAGGTGTGTTGGTGCATTAGAATATTGAGTCCGAATGCCTATCTTAGTAAAAAATTTGGATATTAATCTAAATGTGCTTGATTTGTTAAATAGTTATGCATAAAATATATAGCCTTGATTTTTAGATATACTAGTTGGTTTTTTTTTTTGTCAATTTTTATGAATATTGAGTCTAACTAGTTGTTTTTAGATATACTAGTTGTTTGGGATAAATTTACCATCTTAGATTAAATGAATCTCTTAGCGCCATCGATAATTAGTTTAGGCGAATCTCTTACCGTCATTGGTGTAGTTGGTATACTGGACATGCTCTAAGGCTTGGACCTGATGTACAATGGTCCAAATAACTCGACAAGTTAGACAACATGTCTTCGACTCTCTTCCTGAACGGTGTGGCCACACCGTGAAGGATGAATTGGATTTGAAGACTGAATGGTTAGACGTACATGTAGCTAAACCAATGAAAAGTAAGAAACCAAGCATGGGTTTGTGTATCAAAAACCCTGGCTAGGTATGAAACTTCGACTTTCTTAAAGTGCAAATCTCATATTATTCAAATATATTTTAATTTATCTTCGGTCAAAAGGTTAAGTAAAACAACTAACATTGCTTCACGAAATGATTAAAGTAGACATGACTAATTCTAACAAACTTCCAGCTCATGATCCGTGCATTGTGCGCTCCGCCTGATGTGCAGGTTTTAAATACTCAAAATTTTAGCTGCAAGTGTCAGGCAATCATAGTATTATTTATGATCCAACTCACGCAGGACTTGAAGATATTATGCTTCAAATTTGTAAGACTTGAATTAAGTTAAGACAAAATATATTTTGCATTTTGGGGATTTATGAAAATGTGATAACCAAGTAAAATCAACAAGAAATGAAGATAAATCAAATAAAAAACGTTAGACAATAACTAATTCACATAAACACATGAAAACACGATAAATATCGGTTTAAAGATTTGATAAAAAAACCAACTTAGAACTCAAATCATTAATGTATAATCATTCACTTTGTGACTCCGATTAATCAACCTATAGACTCAACTTTTGATTGTTAAGAAAAGAAGAAAGTATGCAT